AGTCTCTATTTTGTCTTATCAGACTGATCAAATACTCCGATAACTTTTTATGGAATACGAGGTTTTTTAATTCACACGCTAAATTGGCTATTAAGGAGAGAAAGATTGGTGTTACTTTTTTGCTAAATTTGAATAAAAAGTCTATTGCAGCTAATTTTCCTAAAGTATATGCTTTTGTAATTCGGCACATTTAGAGAGTTTGCTCAGAATTTGATAAAATTAAACATTGTTCGATTCAATCAATTTAATATATTCTAGAGGTAAAGCGAGAAGGAAAAGAGGGTGAAAATATCGAAAAGAAGGGAGATGAATTCTTCTACAACGTGCAGGAGACGGGTTTACTTCTTACGTTTTATCGTTTTCTACTACATTTTCATAAGTCTATAAAGTTTATCTTTAAATTATATGTTTTGCTAAAATATAACCACTTCTCATCTTATAATAATATCATAATCCATGAGATTAATTTAGAAGATGAAATACAATACTACATATTAAAATAAGTAACATTACACTTCCCTTCTCTATATAGCCCCCACCCAGGAAGTTCTAAATAGAGAAGGGAAATGTAATATTACTTATTTTAATACGCAATATTATATTCCATCTTCAAAATTAACTCATGAATTATAATATTATTACTATGTATATGCCAAACAGAGTAAGCTTAGAGAATGGATTCTATGGTGTAGATACTTCAATGATAAAAAGTTAAAGACAATTTCTCAATTAAAAAGCTTTGTTTTCATCTTACACATATTGCGCTTAGAACTAAAGCAGCCGGCTATACTTTTTAATCTGTTAACAATTATGAACAATTTTCGTTAAAAAAAACAATTATGAACAACTCAATCATATATTTAGTTGGATGTAACTGTCGTTTAGTTTGTCTGTATAATTTCATAAATCACAATTACAATAAAACAACATTCGATATCATTTATCATGACAATTTCATATTGGGCATTTAGACTCGCGCAACGCGCGTCATAAAACTAGTGTGTGTGTGTGTGTGTGTATATATATATATATATATATATATATATATATATATATATATATATATATGAGTAATGATCCGGTCAGGAGTTCCTGACCGAAACCGCCGTCCGGACCGCGGCGTTTGGCCGCCTTCCCGGTGGCTTTTTTTGATGAAATTTTTATGACATGTTCTCCATCAAGTCTAGTCTATCCACAAAACAATTCAGCCAAAAACTCAATCGGGAAAGTCGTCAAATGATTTTTGCAAGTTAACTGGTCCGGAAAATATATATTCCGGACCAGTTAAATTGAAAAAATTATTTGACGACCTTCCCGATTGAGTTTTTGGGTGAATTGTTTTGTGGATAAACTAGACTTGATGGAGAACATGTCATAAAAATTTAAACAAAAAAAGCCACCGGGAAGGCGGCCAAACGCCGCGGTCCGGACGGCGGTTCCGGTCAGGAACTCCTGACCTGAACATTTGTGTGTGTGTGTGTGTGTGTGTGTGTGTGTGTGTGTGTGTGTGTGTGTATATATATATATATATATATATATAACTAGGTTCAAATGAGAAAATGATCCTAGGAGAGAAATGAAATGAATCTGGATCATTTGATTATATTATGTGAAATTGAATGTGCATTAGCTGAAACTGAAATGTGCAATAGAAGACGCCGAAATGTGCAACACAAAAGGTACGACATAGTAGAATTATGTAAAGCTGAATTGTACATTAGGTGAAACTGAAATATATATGCAGAATAAAAGCTACGATGTGGTGGCATTTTGTGTCTTTTTTTCGACACATTTCACTTTGTCGTAATGCACATTTGAGTTTTAACTTTTACTCGTAAATCTAAAGGTTAAGATTCATTCTCATTTCTCACATTAGATGCATTTCTCACATGCACTTTTCCCTCACCTTGATGCACTATTGCGTGTTTATGTTTCATTTTTCGCGGTGGCAGAAAACTTCGATTTATTTACGAAATTGTCACCGCGTTTTTTTATCAAATTTAATGTGCATTGTTGGCTCATTTTGAACCATTAGATGTGGAAATGAATGCACAAGATTTATTCTCACTCATATAGAGTGGCGTTCATGTCCAGCCGGCCTGTCCGGACGAGGCCATTTGGGGGACCTTCTCGATGAAATGTTTTGATGAATTTTTCTAAGCATGTTGTTCATTAAGTCTAGTTTACCCATACCAAATTGCAGATAAAAATTCAACCGAGAAGACAGTCAAATAAATTATCTAAGAACACTGCGCAATTAATATATATATATATATATATATATATATATATATATATATATATATATATATATATAAACATCTACCTTCCACAGTAGAGAAGCTACTTTCCTGAATCAAATATAGAACCAAAGTAAAAAGATTGGTTCAGTTTCGATTCGGTTTTACACTCCAAAATTTGGAACCACGGTTTGATTAGTTAGGTTTGTTTCGATTCAGTTTCGGTTTTTTCGGGTTTTTACCAAAAAATATTATTTGATTTAAAATTGATATAATACTTTGAGGGATCAAACATATTACATAAAGAATGCAAGCACAATAAATAAAAATAAAAATAAATAAATAAATATGTCTTGAATTATATGAGTATGGGAGAGATAAAAGTATATATATTATTAATTTCAATTGTTTGTGACTAGTTCAAAAAAGTTCATGATACATACGTTCTATGTGATTTAGTTGAAATGAATATTTATTGTTTCATCAATATGAATTCTTTAAGTTAAACAAAAATAAAAGTCAATTAATACTAATAACTAGTAAAAATATATTATCATCATTCAGTATAGCTACATTATTACATGCAATGAATGTGTGAATGAATTTATAAACTAAACTAAACTAAAGTAAACATAACACAAACATTATTTCTCTAGTACAAAAAAATCAAAGGTCATTAATGATATTAGGATTAGTTAGGATTAATGCTTAACAATTGATAAATAAATTTTATATTTTAATTAGTTCGGTGTGTTCGGTTCGATTCGGTTTTGAAGGGTAAAAACCAAAACCGAACCAAACAACTACGGTTCGGTTTTTTACATTCGGTTTCGGTTTGTTAGCGGTTCGATTTTATTTCGCTACGGTTCGGTATAATTTGATTCGGTTTTTCGTTTTCGATTTTTCGGACCCAGCCCTAATTATGATTAGAGGGGTGGATATATTGCAAGTAATTATGCAGATAGATAAGAAACCACCTAGAGGGATTTAAAAAAAAAACAGAAATTGCTCTAAATAGGAGTAAAAACGTTTTGAAATTCCAAAATAGGACTATCATGTTTTTTATTCCCTGAATAGCAGTAATCTGCCAAGTTTGGAAAAAAATGCCATGTTTAAAGCCTAGTAATGCCAAACTTGGCAAAAATTTACTCCGATTCACGGAATAAAAAAACATGATAGTCCTATTTTGGATTTTCAAAACCTTTTTACTCCCATTTAGGGAATTCTCTAAAAAACACCTAGAGGGGTGGATATATTGTGAAATAATGGCACAAATATTACCTCTCAACTTTCATTAGATAAAAATATGAAATAATGGCACCAATATTACCTCTCAACTTTCATTAGATAAAAATATGACCCAAATTCTATTTCCCCAAAAAGTGACCTAACGAGACCTTCTGTATTCCCTTGCGTCGAACGACCTTCACGCTCATAGACAGAGCAATTCCCCAGGAGCAGAACACCATCGCCAATCATCTCTTCAGGCCATCGCCCGTCGCCGACCGTATCCCCAAGCTGTCGCCGTTGCCCTACACGGTGAGAGCCGTCTCCTCCCTGGTTCATCGATCAATTTCTCCTCTCTACTGCATCGATCAATCTCCTCCCTGCTCCTATTGATCTTCTCTCGTCCGTCCTTGTGCATAACAGCCATACAAAATCATCACTCTGTCTCCGTCGTCCAGGTGCAACATCGATGAGGTTCGATGTATTCTTCACTGAATTTGGATCTAGGCATTTTCTTCGCCGATTGGGGTCGTTTCCTTATGCGTCGCCGATTTTGGGCGACGGTTGTGACTTGTGAGGCTACGGTCCCACTGTGTGCGGCGGTGCGTTTAAAATTGGGCCATGGTAGCTAGGGTTGGGAACTTGTGGCGGTGGGGGTGAGTTGGACGGCGGCTGGAAGGGGGCTTGGGAGGATGGGGAGGGGTCTGGGGGCTAGGGCAGTGGGGGTGGGGGTAAGTTGGGCGGCGGCTAGAAGGGGCCGCGGAGTGGTGACAGGAGTTGCTGACGTTGACCGGGAGTGGAGGTCCGGTGGCTGGTGGTTTCCGGCAGCGGCGGATAACAGTGGAGGTGTCATATTTACTGAGGGAAGTGTGTCACTATGGTGGCGTCACTGCGGCGGCGGCACTATGATTTGCGGCGGCAAGGACACCAGCGATGGCGGCACAGTGACATGTTTCAAGTGCCAGTGACAACCGAAAGTGACCCGAAGACCATTAGTGACATTCAAAAGTGACATAAAAATTTGACAGTGGCATGAAAATATGACAGTGACATAATGTTTTCCAAATATATGAATCTATAGTGACAGGACAGTGGTTATAGTGATACGGGCGGTGGCTACAGTGACACGAGCGGTGGCCACAGTGACATGAGCGGTGATTATAGTGACACGGGTAGTGGCTACAGTGACACGGGCGGTGGTCGCAGTGACACGGGCGGTGGCTACAGTGACACGGGCGGTGGTTGTAGTGACATGGATGGTGGCTGTAGTTACAAAAAAACGAAACACGCAGTGACATAAAATTTTTACAGTTACATCGTGTTTTCTAATTGCACATATATGACCTTTTTGATCACTTTTTTGCCTTTTTTGCCTTTTTTTAAAAGTGATCACTTTTTGGGTAATTGGTTCGGAATTAGTAATATCCAAGTAAAAAACCCATGTATTGCAAGTGATTATCACAGTAGGCGAGTATATGCGGTTCTTCCTATTATAATCGATGCAATTTAATACGAGTAAACCAACAAATCTGAATCCAATTTCCTATTCGTAATTGGATGAGTTAGACTCCAACTTTATATTTACGTGATTACGTCTCCAATTTGAGAAGGCAAAACCATGTTCATGTGTATGAATGAATGCATCTGGGAACATGTTTTTGAATAGACACACAGTGGACTTGAAAATTGTGCACACTGCAAGAGATTGATCACCTAGTGTACAAACACAACTAGCATGAATTTGTCACTGATCACATTTTAAACCAAAATGTTCCTCAAGTATGTGCTTTGAAGTTCTTCCAAATCCCATTTCCACTTGTTTCATATCCCTGAGTTTCAAAGCTTCCCGTTTCACCAACTCTATCCTCTCATGAAGTGCTTTGAGCAGCGGCTCCAAGTCGGTGAATGTTGAGTGGTGCAAGAGTTGAGACCTCTCCTTGTCTATTTGTTCATATAGATTTATAATGCAGTTCCTTTGTGCAAAGAGCCTTTCCTCAGCAATGTTGTACTCCAACTCCTGTGACTTCCTCAATGACTGTAGAGCTTGATCAATCTCATTATCAAGTTTAAGTGATTCAACTCGGTGGTCAAAATTTGAAGACACCATTCCGGGTGGTGCAGTTCTGTTGTTTTCTTGCTCTTTGTCTTCATAGTTGGCTAACTCATGTAAACTGTTTCTATTGTTATGAGGTAAACTCTCTTGCATCAACAAGGAAACTAGTACAAAACCATGTATCAAAGAAAAAAAAACATTATAAAAATGTTGATATGACATTATAGTAACTCATGCCATCACATTGTAGCAAAGTTTGGGAATGTGTGAATTTCAGGCCCTAGGGAAGAGTAAATGATACCTGAAACATATTTATACAAATTAGTCTATTTACTAATCTTTACAGCCATACCATCCTTACTAGATGCTTGTGACAATTTAGCAATACTATCCTTACTTTGTCTTGTTGCGGCAATTAGACATACCAGAACTCCATATATATACTTGTGACAGTTCATATAAGGGAAATTACCCTAAACATGGCTAAAAACGTTTGTATATTCCAAAATAGGACTATCATGTTTTTATTCCCAAAATAGGACTAATTACTGTAATGTTTGGGCAGTACCTGACTTTAAACATGGCAGTATTTTCCAAACTTGGCAATAATTACTCTCATTTTGGGAATAAAAACATAGCAGTTCTATTTCGGAATTTTCAAATTTTTTTACTCCTAATTCGGGATTTTTTCCTTCATATAATGCAAAACTTTGGGACAACAATAAAAATTATTCCCCTCCAGGCTCAAACCCAATTTAATTGACTTATTAGAAAAGTATGCACATATTAATGAATATTACAAAAAAAAACATTTATATCCCTATATAAGTTTTAAATTAAATGCTTTATATATCTTTTCAAGGAAAAATAACATTTAAATATTTAATATGGAAAAAGTCAATAGGGAAAATTCAGGACATTATTACAAAATATGCATTGAATTCCTAAAATGGAAATCATGCTAATATGACAAATAATTTAGAACAGGAGAGTACTTTTCTTTCTCCATCACTTGTGCATTTATTCACACAACAATATTACAAGTTTTATTTGGAAAAAATAAATAAATAGGATAAAGTAACACCAAAAAGCATCTAAAAACAGGTTGGTAAAAATTACCAGTCACTTCATATGCTTCCTTACTCCACACATCTCTGAAGTCAAATCCGATCTTAAGCTGGTTACAATATCATATATAAAGATTATTCATAGCCCTTAAAAGCAGCAAATGTAAGTTCCACAGCACAAACTAACATTGATTTAATTTCCACTGAGCCATACCTTTGCTGCTGCTGATTCAATATGTTTTAGTAATTGCTTTGCAGTCATTTTCTGTGAGCCACGCAGCATACAAATGGCAAGGCTCAACATCTTATCAATCTCATCCTGTGAATCAATGGATTCAATGGTTTCACAAGTATGAAGAAGATTCATGACATGCAAAACTAGATCCGTCTTTGAATCACAGCGTCGACAAAAATACTCTGCATCCAGGCCTATGCTTCCTCCTACAGTTCCAGCCACATAAGCTCTAAGAGCACATTCTATGTGGGCAATGTGTCCACAAATATAGCCATCTTGGACGTTCTTTTTACACTTGATGTAACTATAACCACCAACTCCAGTGTTGATGGTCTTGCAACAAAGAATACAGCAACATTCTCGGCAAAATCTGGATTCACTGCAGCAAATGTCACAAAACATGCCTTCCATCGGAAGAGGATCAGCACCTTCTAATAAACTGCTGCACATAGTGTTACCGGCCTTGCAACCATCACGTTCTAAATGAGACATAGGCCCTTCACTTTCTGTTCTTCAACACAGAAAGAAACAAACTCCTTAATCCTGATCATACATCTAAACTACACCAAATAGTAACATCTTCTGAAAACTTCTACCAGTCAAACTCATAACCATATAGTCTCATTGGTAAAAAAAAAAAAAAGTCTAATAAATGAATTATATCTTCCTAAGAGAATATATATAAAAAATTAAATTGATTACATATTTGTAAAGGCATTCATTAAGTCTTGGAAGTAGATATCATAAGAATGTTTAGGAACAACCATGAAAATTATGCTATAATTATGCTATGAACCTCGGCACCCCGCACTCCTGGTCCAATCTTGTAATATAGACACCACTGTGTGTCAATTTAACTTTCAACTTTTGATATTGATAAAAGCAAAAATATACCACCCACCCAGAATAAAAAAAGTCACGAGGGTTTGTACAATTCTACCAACAAGATGTTCTTTTAAAAGTGACTATAACTCCTTGTTGAGAGCCATGCATTGACATAGAGAGGCATGTAAGAAAACACAAACATGGAATATGAAAAAATACGACAATGCGAAAGCAGAAGAATATGACATATAATGGGGAAAGAGGATGAGGTCATTATATATTAAAGAAGCCTCAATGCTCTAATAGTCTAATGTCTTCTTAACACCTCAATTCATGTTGTGTTCAGTCTCCCTCAGCTTCCTTTTAACTTCTTTATAAATCTACATTTTTCTAATAATCCACTCTCTGTTTTTTATAATCCACTCTATATTAGCACTTACCTCTTGACAATAGAGATGGTTATACTAGCAAAAACAATGCTTCCATTGAATAGTTTCAAAACTTATTATCATAATTTAAGTAAGTGTTTATATAAGGATAATTTGTTGCCTCTTCTCTATATCCCTTGAAAAATAATGATTTATTGTCATTGAGTGTGAGTTAACCTCTATTGCTGGATCAATTGGCTATTTGGGTATGTGATTAGAAAATGTGCTATGGTCTGAAAACGAGTAAATGGTCAGATTGGTCCTCGAAATTCCTTACTGTCCTTACTGTCCGACCGTCGCCATTTGGGGCGGTTCCCGGTGGAATTTTTTGATGATTTTTTTTAACATCTAATTCATTAAGTCTAGTTTACTCATACCAAATTTCAGCTAAAACTTCAAACGGGAAGGCATTCAAATGAATTCTTGAAGATAACTGCGCTTTTAACGGCACAGTTATCTTCAAGAATTCATTTGAATGTCTTCCCGTTTGAAGTTTTAGCTGAAATTTGGTATGAGTAAACTAGACTTAATGAATAAGATGCTAAAAAAAATCATCAAAAAATTCCACCGGGAACAACCCCAAATGGCGATGGCCGGACAGAGTTTCCTATATAAGGACTTATTTGACCCTTTTTATGCAACTTCGAGGACCAATCTCACCCTTTACTTGTTTGAAAACAATGTGTTCTGAAAACATCCTTTTTGGTTTGAAAACCCATCATTTCAAAAACGCGTTTTGATTGACTGGTAGTAAATTAGCTTCACATGTGGTGATCGGGTTCAAAATAAACAAAGCACAGAACACTCAAATCAAGAAGCTTCAATTAGTGACATATATGATTTTAGTGTTTGAGTTCTAAAAATGCTGTGAATCATCTTACTTTAAATAACATTTTGGGAGCCAAAACATATAGACAAACACCGACACAGTATTACAAGGGTATATGAATTTCTGTTCTGAGCAGATTGAAAAAGTTCTTAACTCAAATTAGAAGCCTCCTATTATCCAGGATTAGGATTTATGCACCCCAAATAACGACATACTTCTTCCAATTCTTAACTGGAAATACAGCATGTTGCTTTGAATCTTTTCAGTAAAGCAGACATATCCAACTACAGGTAACTCACTTGACATTCTAACAAAACATTAAACCACTATTATAATCCGAACTGCGATACAATTTTAAAAAATTAGTCCTTTAACACTAACCTTTTAACATAAGCTGCTTTGAGGGAATCTTCCAGCAAAATGTGGCAAAGAATGCATTCACATCTGTGCCAGGAAACATTGCCCGGATAAATTGTTCAACTGACAGTTTACTAGCAAAGGTCCTCCTCTGTACAGGTTTCCCAACATGTGCAAGACTGCTTGGTGGATACAGGTACCTGTCCGCAAAGTATCCTGAAGATGCTATTCTTTTCCCCGCCTTCCAACGCCATATATCACCAGGATTAGGCCAATTTTCAGGAGCATATGGAAAGCCTTCACCTGATTCATTGGGAGACACAGGATACAGATAATGTCCATTTTCCTTATTTATAGGTGTATTTCTGTTACTGGCACCTGGTTTGTCGATATCCATGGACTCATTCATAGCTAAGATGCAGCAGAAATGTTCAACTGTATGCAAATATACAAAGAGATCGAATTTAGGAAGAAACGCGGTGCTCATATTTGAAATGGTGTTGTCCACAGGATATCAGTCAGGTGTGTCCCTTAGACCAGTAAGATTAACGCATAGACCAGTAACACACACGCATATAAGTAAAAACTGTTGAAATGTAGAAAAGAACGGTTGGAAAAAAGTAAAGAAACTGTTGAATACAGAAATATACTATCCCAGAATTTGGAAACAAGTCTTCCTACACAGTGCACACACAGGAGCTCCTGTGGCTACCCAACTCTGTTCGGTGTATCTGGCCATGGTTTGACAAAACCAAAAACAACATCTTGCTCAGAATGATGTAGTGAAACATCACCACAAGCAAAATGGAATCACCTTTTTGGCAACACTGACCGGTTGTTTACCGGAGGAAAGGGAGTGAAGAAAACAGGAAAACAACTTTCATGATATATGGTTCAAGCTTTCAAAGGTTTCTAGTAAGTTAGTGAAAGTAAAGGTTTGAGTTCATGCTAAATATGCTTGTGTGGGCACCACACGTTTAAGTTAGAATTCAACTTTGAAGTTGTTCCAGTCAAATTCAAGTAGAACACATAAAAATATGTAGGTTCATGTGAGAATATAATCTTAGGAGAGAAATAAGAATAAATATCCACCATGTGAGAATATAATCTTAGGAGAGAAATAAGAATTAATATCCACCATTAGATCAACCCATTAATGGAGATGATCTCGTATTGGATGTGAGGATGATTTTGTGATTTCATCGTTTTTAACTTTTCCCACCGTGCATAGCATCCTAAAATTTCTCCCCATTTCTTGGTTACATTTAATTAACTTCCTTTACGGTTATAACTCTCCTGCCTTATATTATTTCTCTATTTCACATTAATGCTTTTTTTGGGAGGTTACTTCATTAACTTCCTTTTTGTTTTTCGTTTCTACATTTTCTTTTACGTTTATGACATTAATCCCACCTGCATATTTAGTATATCCTAACTTCGTTTTTCTTATTATTTTTAAAATTGAAAATTTCATGTTTAATTTATTACAATGCATACATACTAGTGCACTATAAATTTGGTTCGATGCACTTTTTAAAAAAACTAGAGCACTCAAAGTCGTGGAAAACTATACCACACATGTTGCACTCTGAATTAGTTAGGGATGCAATTATTTCTTCAATTTTTAAATTGCACTTTTACTTATTAAAAGTGCACACATATATACAGTGTTAATGCACTTCTCAATTGTTACTTCACACTTGTAAAAAACTCGACGTGTACCATTTTAACTTAAAATCTATATAATATAATAAAGCAAACCTTTGATGAACTCTTTAGAGGAATTATTGACATGTGGCAATGGTCTTTGTATGAAAAAGTGACATGTGGCAAGACAATAAATTCAAGAAAAAACTATTCAACTTCCAAAACTCTACTTTTATGTATTCCAATATTATATACATATGTATTTAAATCATTGGTATACTGAAATTTTATAACTATTATATTGTACTACCTCTGTCCCACTAAGATTGGGACATGAGGTGATGACACGATTATTAAGAAAAATGAGTTTATATGGTTGTCGTTGAATTGCTGAAATAAAAATTAAGAAAGAATGATTTAATACCACACAAACTTTGGCTAATTTTGTACTTCGTATGAGAAAGTGTTAGAGGGACGGATCGAAAGGAAAAGACAAGAGAATCTCAGCGGGACGGAAGGAGTATCTATAAAAAAACACTCAGTGTAGAAATGACGCTATTTACATCTTTTGAGTAAACATTTGAATAATTATTATAATATAGAAATAATAGTTCAACAAGGGTTGTAAAATAACAAGTATATTTCAAAATAATTTTGGTAGTAAACCATCAATATTGAAGACAAAAAAAGTAAAAAAAATAGATGTTTATAATTTGTGTTACTCACCCGTGCGAATTGACCCACGAAACTGGTCACTTCATTGGATAAAAAACGACAACTCTTACCCAGTTTGAAATGGGATGCAATAGACCAAGCTAGCCTGGAGACTTTGACTCCTTTCGACAGCTCTATACACAGTTGAGTGAATTTTCTTTTAAACCGTGATTGATGAATTCACATACAATTCATTTCACTTGCAATTTTTATAAAAACTTTAAGTGCATATTTTGCCGTGCAGTGCACGGGTACATATACTAGTTATATCTATAACTCAGATATCATTTATTTTTTATTTACTAAAGACCATGAATTTCAAAGAGGTCAAATGTGAGAAAGGGATTTTGGTTAGAACGACATATACTTAAATAACTCTATAAAGTGCATTTCAAATTTACTTGGGTGCATAAACTTTGATCAGTAATGCATAATTAGTATTTCAATATCACCATATTCCAATTATAATAAATTACACTTTTAATTATAATTATTGCACATAACAACAATTTTAGATCATTCATGCAGCTAAAATCCTACAACATTTATTGTACTAGAAACATTATTTCATGCACTAGAATTTGGCACACTTTCTTTTAACACATATCCACTCTTGACACATTAATATTGCACTTTATAAAAACTGATAAGTATAAATAACAATCATGTTGTAACATACCTAATTGTAAATACATACGTGAATATATAAATTTAATTAAAATTGCTCTCTTAACACATTATTTAATGCACTTGATGTTATCTGTTTCTCCAAAATGCATACACGTGTCTAATATAATAGAGGAATGCTTCTAAATTTAAAATAATGATTTACACTTTTCAATTTATTGGATAATGCAATATCATGATTGCGCCTTTCAATTTTGGCGGTGGTGGAATGATAGGAATTTTGGTTTTAGGCTCTATGCTGATGGATAATTAAAGCATTATCAATTTACAAAAAGACCTCCGCAATAAATGTTGATTGGATGATACGTCTTCACTTTTAATGTTTCCTTATAAACACTTGATTATTAAGTCATACGAGCATTTTCTATAGCCATCCAATTGAATGAATGAAAGGCTAGATTTCATTCTTATTTCTCTCCTAAGACACCATTCTCACCTGAACCATGCCTTATATATATATATATAATAGAAATACTAGTTTTAGAAACATTTTAGTTTCTCACCATTGTCATGTTTAAGCCCATTGTTTTCTCGAAATCCAATGTACAGTTAGAAAATGCAGTAGCCTTTAAAATTAATTAAACGACAGACTTCTATGTAATAACAAATGCATCTCAAATAAAAGTATAGATATTCTAATACAGTTTATATGTATCATCATATAAAAATTTTAAAATGAAAAAAACAAGGGCTACAATTCTACTTGGTACAAGGTTTCATGTTTTACCAACCTTTCTTAACCTGAAGACTTTAATTTGGACAATATGAACCCACTATTTTAACATTAACTTAGAAATTTTGGATAGTCAATGTCAGCTTTTAGGGTAATTGATCCCCACCCTTGTTCATATTCTCTTCACCTTTATCTTCAAAGAGCATAATGACCATTAATCCCCAAAAAAGGCCACGGATGGTGGCCATAATCCATCCAGATTGAAAAGAGATTAATGGATACCTTCATCATCAAATAAGATATTTGATGGAGAAAAAACAGATAAATGACTGAAACACCCTCCAAGTAGATTAATGAATGATGGCCAGCAAGTATGTTATTTTTTCTAATGGCATTGCTGAAATTTCTTAGGATTGATAGTCACAAGAATATCCAGAATTGCTGCTCCAACGTAAACTTAAATATATTAATATAGCATCAGAACAGCCCTATGTATTTGAAACAGCAGAACTTCTTAACATTGAATTTAACGAAACCAGATATAATGATTTGGCGTATTTAATGGTCCACAAATTCAAGATGCTAACGGATAACACAAATATATGGATCTTTTAAAAGAACCAAATGCAAAAAGGTATCTAATGTCTAACCCCCTATCAAAATTACTCATATTGTATTTACATAAATTAAGAAATGTTCAAGCTTTCAGGCTCATTTTATTCTCATGCTAGGAAATGGGATTTTATGGAACCACACCTCTACTCTTAAACTAAAAATCCAATCCCCTGAACCATTAATCTAGCATCCATAGCTGTTAACTAATATGAATTACTCCCGTATATGCTTGTATGGAAGAACTCATACAAGCATTAAAGGTTGATTTCAACTATTGCATTAAAGGTTGATTTCAGAGAAATAAATTATAACCATGCCTCACTACCCTATCATTCATGGCACTCTATTCAGAATAATCAGTTTCATAGCTGCTTGAAGGAATGAACCAAGCATAATCAACTAAATATAATGTGTTTTTCACTTTTTCCCTTTGCTACTAAAAAAGATGTTTTGCCTCTTCACCCTCATCATCCCCTTAGTCCCACCCAACTATGTTGAAGTCGGTGTCATAACATTTAGTGCCAATCGTGGTAGTGAGATAGTGACCTGGATCGTATGACCTAAGGTCTAAAAATGTGAAAACGATCATGATCACTAGAGAATTGCTTTAGGAATGGTACTTGAGTAAGGCCATATTGAGACCACTCCAAAGTCGTCATGACCGAAACACTTGACAGAAAAAATGAAGAAACACATATTAAGGTATCTAAATGAAGAAAAACTTGACAGCATTACCTATCCTTAATGAGTCGTTAAAAGGAGTCATTGAGAATTAAGATGGACAAATAAGAATAAAATGGAACAAGGCATTATATTAATTGATAAAACAGCACATGTGAAAGAAAAAATCACCCAGTGTAACTTATTGCGAGTCGTGGGAGTGTTAACATGTGAGGACAAGTCTACGACCATTGATCTTTATGATATACTAGAAATTACTCCCTTTTCTAAATTAGCTACTCAAATTAATATTTCAAGAATATGGATGATAAGTAGGATCTTACTGTCCTTAGTCCTATTCCAGAATATGACCCAGTCGACCCCAGACATCCAAAGTAGAATCTTGACACAATTTTTTTTGTGTCAAGTACCGGGGACGGAGCCACACTCTCTATCTGTCAGATTGTGATTATAGTCCAATTTACATCCTCTCATCGTGCCGCCGGATCGGTGTTGGGGGCCCGGATGGGGTGTCATCCTTTTTTTGACACAATTTTTTTTGGTGTCAACTCATTGTGAGAATTTAGCTTTAGTTGCCACTTAAACATCTCTTACCCAACTTTTTTCTAAAATTCTTCTACTTTAGGAATATAGGAGTTAGTACTACCTAGTTTGAATTTCATTTAGTTTTTGTGTTCACATCCAATGTCATCTTTGCTATCATCATCATTACCCCAGCACCGCAAAGGCTTTCCACCTACGATGGGGTAGGGGGTCAGATGTACGCAGCCTTACCATGTACAAGTACAGAGACTGTTTCCGGATGACCCATCCTGAAAATCGTGTAAAAAATTGCATGGACTGACCGCAGCTTATAAGAAAAAAGTAAAGACAGTTTAGTGAGACATTTGCTTTATTCCATCACATTCCCAAACCAAAAAAATAGTGTCTTTGGTTCCATTGCAAATAATGGAAAGCAATGTCACCTTTGCTATAAACACAAGCAAAGTAAGCTCATCATAAGTCGAAATTAAGGGTACCTTCCTAGCCATTTTCAAGCCACAACAACTTGGGCTAAAGCAGTCTAAAGTCTAAACCCGCAATAGTGCACAGAAACAAAGAAATGTGCGTGCATGTACGATACAGAGAGGTTTAAGTGAGATGAGGTGTGTGGACATACGCTGCAAAACGATAGCGAGTAGCAGTTGGAAGTTGAATATCCGGATGTAGAAACCCTACACCACCGTAGCATGCGGCGGCGCAAAAGGCCTACAGGCGATTTCTTGCGACCAAATTTCTGAAATAAATTTACGCTAATTGCATTGATAACCATCGAATTTCAAAGTTCAAGTTGCATTTCTGCAATGCTGCTTGTAGTCCAAGTTGCCGTTGGTATTACCAGTAATATTCTGTTGCATCAGACCTCATAATCGATATCCAGGAAGATCAGATTAGTCCAATTCTGGCTCAGCATTAGTATTAATTTCATAATTAAATATTGTGATTCTATTTCTATATACGGTTTTATATATCCAAATATTACTATACAAAATGAAATTTCGTGTCAAATGTATCAATGGTACAACTATGGGTAATGTTAGGGTTTGATACCTTTAACTCATAAATGAATCAAAACGGTACCTTAACTATACATAAATGTTTCAAATTAAGATTTTATTCAAATTTGAGGTAAAAAAATCACACGTGGTGACCAAAATTCTATGTGTAAGTGCAGTTCACCTTATTTTTGTCCATATGCTGTGGCGTATCCAGGGTGGGGGCAGGGGGCAGCTGCGCCCACTCAACCCCCACCCAACCCCCATATATATATATTTAAAAATTAAAATGTAGATATAATTGTGTGTTGAGCAAAGATATCTTATACTTTAATTACGCAAATTGTAAGTAAATGGTGATGTGGTATAGTGGCAAAGGAGGGCATGCGTTTGTATTCTTTCGTGAGGTTTGGGGGATCGATGCCCCATTACCCCTTCCACCCTCTTTGTTTTCACACTTTTGATTTTTACCTTATTCCTTATTTAAAGTTTTAATAATCACATTCCAAACCTTCCTCCACCTTTTATTTAAAACTTTAATTTTTATCTTCCTTGTTTTCTTTTTAAAGTTTTAATCACATTTAAAATGACTTAACATATACACTCACTTTTAGGGTTAATCTATACTTCATTACATTTTTTGAGATAAACTATATTTCAATACATTTGACACAATATAAATTCATTGTTAGATACAATTTTGCATCCACAATTTACATTAATTCTAAATACGTACATACACTACATGGCCTTATTCAAATGATTTTTATTAACATAACATCAAAAATTAAAAAATTTATGTCAAATTTATTAAGCATGATTTCATGTTTTTTCACTGACCGATTAGTTTTATTTATAATGAAGTTTGTACTTTTATAAAAAAAAACATGAAGTTTGTACTATTTTTCTTAATGTGTTTAGCTACTTGTGACATGTGTGAAATACTCCATAATATATACTCCCTTTGTCTTGTAAAATTCTTTCTGGTTTGACTTGGATCGGAGTTTAAGAAAGTGAGAGTCAAGTAGAAATATATGATTGTGCTTGAGTAAGAAAAATGTAAATCAATGTTAGCATCACAAAACTTTCCAAAAAGGGAAATAGAAAGATTTTTTCGGACAACAAGATAAGTTTGAAGAATTTTACGAGACTGAGGAAGTAGTATGAACTCGCCCCCACTCGCCACTGTTCATTTGATCGCTTTGAATAATTTTTTTACCACATTTTGAATAAAATATTAACTTGAAACATTTATGTATAGTTATGGTACTGATTTGATTCATTTAAGAGTTAAGGTACCAAACCGTAACAATACCAATAGTTAAGGTACCATTTATGCATTTGACTCTGAAATTCCTAATAAATAAATGCTTTCCAAAAAAATGGTGTAAAATTTCAATATAGAAATATTAATTTTATTTTCAAAATAGGTGTCGTAAAATAATGTGGACTATTATTAGTTATATTATTGACATTAATATCTTAAGTGTGACGGTAATTACTCGAAAAAACATTGTACTCAAATATCCCCACAACCTTAATATAGTCTGTGAGGAATCTAAATGATAGGAATATTTGAACGGTGAGGATTAAGTTGAATGTGTTCGAGTAAATGATAAATGATATGAGTATCATGTTTTTTATTTTCTGAATAGGAGTAAATTTCTGCCAAGTTTGACATTACAAGGCTTTAAACATGACATTTTTTTCCAAACATGGCAGATTACTCTTATTCAAGAAATAAAAAACATGATACTCCTATTTTGGAATTTCAAAACGTTTTTACTCCTATTTAGGACAATTTATGTATTAAATTCACATCCCGCTCATTTGAAGACATGTGGACCGGTTTAATACCCTTGTGATATGCAATACCCAAAATACCCTTGAGCGGAGCCCGCTATATAAAGGGGGGCATCATGAAAGATAGATGAATTATCAATCTGGAACCTGACAGATAAAATGTATCGATATAGGACCTGAATGATTGAAAATCATCAATCTAAGACCTAAGTTGTTGTGAATTTTATAATTTTTGTATTTTAAGTTTTAAATATCATTTAATTTTACTAAACTAGTAAACTTTTGTGAAGAAAAAATCATTGAAAGTTAGCCACAGAATTATTTAGAAATTAAATAAATGTAAACCTATGGAATTTTAGGTCCGATTAATAGTTTTAACCATTTGAGCCCTATGCGGACATACTTCATCTTTCAGATCTTGGGTTGATCATTATCTTTTAAGTCCTGAATAGATAAAAATTCCTTGTCAAAAATAAGTGTGGCATATTAAGAATTTCTTTTATGATTTGTTCAAAAAAGAATTTCTTTTATGATAAACATAATATTGGAGTTTACATGTTTTATATCTGCCATAAAGTCTGATATTAAGGTTTAACTTTATTTTATGTCAAAGAGCCACCATCTAGGCTAGCCTAGGCTTGTTTAGTGGCGGTTTCGGCCGCGGCACCGGGGGTTCGAAGTTTGGATTTTGCTTTCGGATTGTTTGGATTTTGCTTTCGGATTGTTTGGACTTTTTGTGAGATCGGAATTCAGCGATGTCGACTCGGGATGCAGCAGCAAGGGATTCAGCGAGTCCATTGGTTCGCCTCGGTTTTGCAACAGCTAGGGATCTGCTGCTCCATCAACGAGTCCACTTGGAGGTCCCTTGTTCGGCGGCAACCCTTGTTCTTGGAAGGAGGAAGATGATGAGTGCAGGTACATGGAATTGCAGAGGACTTGGTAATCTGGCTACAACTCAATGCCTGACGGATCAACACAAACGTTTGACTATGGAGGCGGCTGAGCGGCGGGCACATCCCCCTCCTGAACCGCCGCCATGGAGTGCAAGCAAGTCTAGGGTGATCGTGTGGTTTGGCAGGCTCGGACAGAGGATCTACTTTATCTGTTTTATTTTCTCCTTTAGTGATTATTTATTTTGTTGTGTGCTTTCTTTTGGTTTTGATATTCCTGTTTGTAAGACGTTGATTTTGGATGTGGGGGATGACATGAATACGGTAACCATTTTTGGCTTTAGGTTTCCCACTTATGGATCAACAAATTATATTGCTTCTCAGGAGGTGATTAATTCCGAGTTTGGTTCGCCGGATAACGGTTGTCAGATTTCTTTTTGACATTTGACCCATACTCTGAATTATCTGTTATCAATATAAGCCGAATTCTTCCAAACAAAAATGTTTTATATCTGTCATTGATGTCGCGTGATGGATTCAGAACGAGAGTTTTCGATTGAGTCATTGAGATGATAGGCATGGTAGGCTGGCCGGGGATTGGCAAATGTAAAATCCCATTTTTTTAATTAAGTGTTGTAACTTTTTTATTTCTACTCTAAATTTTACAAAAATATATCAAAATTAATACGAGTAACTTTTTATGATTTTTCTATGATACTAAATTACTAATATTTCATATATAAAATTTGATTTATTTGTTGAAGTTTCAACTGTAGAAAGTTTTGAGACACATATTTTTCCTAAATAAATTCAAGTTCTAAAATTAATATCTCATTGTTAACATAACTTTTTTTTACATGTTTCAATTATTATAAAAGTGAGATATAAATTTTAGCACTTGAATCTATTTAAGAAAAACGTTGAATCCGATAACCTCCTACAGTTGAAACTTCAATTTTTCTAAACTTTATACATAATATATGCAATATTTGTATCATACTACGTATGAAAGATCATAAAAAGTTATAAATTTTGATATTTTTTTTTGTAAAACTAGAGTATAAATAAATAAGTTATGACACTTCATAAAATGATATTTTATATTTGTCAAATAACCCCACACATTTTCGCTAGGCATGGCAACCCCAACACCTGATTTTTGCATTGGGAGCCTCTGTCTAGCTTTAGAGCAAGGTAAAGTGTCTTCTTCTTCACAGTCATCCGATCAAAAGTTCAACAACCGAAGAAGATTTTAGGGTCCATTCTTTCGCTGATCTCGAAGCCTTCTTAGTTGTTGTCCGATGCGCAAGAGACTTTGCCATACCGCAAAGGATCTGATCCCTTTCTTCGTACCCACATTTGAATTACCGTGTTTGTGCTTGTCACGCAAAAAAAAATCTGTATTTTGGGAATTTCCTCTGCGTGATGCCACCAGTGACATTATTGCTCTACGTGTCAGTTTCATTGATGCGGTGACTTTTTGGAAATTTTCTAAACAAAAGGTGTAGAGAAGCTACGCAGGCTAGGTGATCAGAGAATACAGTTCAACATTTAATTTTGGAGTTACTCCCTCTGTCTCATTTTACATGTCCCATTTTGGGTTGTCCCAAAATAAGTGTCACATTTCTCTTTTGAAAAAAATATGTGGTCCACAACATTTCACTTTATTATATTCAAAGTTCAACCACAATCTTTATCTTTTCAACCACTATTAATAATTGTGCCAATATCAAGAGACATAAAATGGGCTTAAACTTGTACATTGTTGTTAAAATCTCATACCTTACTTTTAACTTGGCTTGTTTACCCTTGATGTGCCGTCAATTATCCTACTTCCGTTAGTGAACATCGGGCTTAAACTCCTTCACCGTTTTTCGGAATATGTAGAATTACTTGGTGACGGAACGAATATGTTAAATTAAACATCGGGCTTAAACTCCTTTCACCGTTTTTCTTCTGGGTGTTTGGAATTGCTTCTGCTTCTGCTTATTTTTTTAAAGCAGAAGCAGAATCAGTTTTCAGAAGCTGGTCACCCCTATCTTCTAAAAAAATGATTCTATGAGCAAATTTGAGCACCAGAATCACTCCTGCACTTTCACCCAAACACTTCAGCTTCTGCTTCTCCTTCAGGGAGCAGAAGCAGTTTTAAGAATCAGATCCAAACACCCCTTAATTGACTTCGTGACATGTTGGCAGTTGGCATCATGGTTTTCAAGGACATCTATGGAAAGAGATGTTCCTACTGGCTTTGAAAGGAAACTAATCGGGCCGCCAGCATTATCATTCTGATATGAAATGGATCTTTGAAAGGAAAAAAGCGA